GTCGAAACGTCGCGATCTACATCTCAAGTGACTACATCGTGAGACAAACGATAATACACTTTATTATCCCCAACTTTGTTGGGTTAAATTTTCTTGTAGAACTATTGATTGCATTCATTAAGGTTTTTGGCTCGTGTGTGAAGCATTCACCATATTTAACTCTCAATTCAGGTTCTGATTGGTGAACTTTGTTTCAGTCGGCCCAGTTCAAGGCGTCGCATTGTAACTCAATGTTGGCAGCGTACGAAATACCATAAACTTCCGAAAGTAACGACCATCGTTATTTTCGGAATTAGCGAGGGCTTTCCTCAAATATCACGTGAAATCGCCCGAATATCTTTCCGGAAATTCTCAAAAATTTTTCTAAATATCACCAAAAATTTTCTAACTATCTCGAAAAACCCTCTAAATATCTCATATTTTTGTCGTAAAAATGTACCGATAGAACAAGAAGATTCAGGAGCTTCCATGTTACCAACATCCGCCATTTTTGAAATTTGTTCCTTCAGCGCTTTTAGCGATATGGAATACATTTTTCGAGCGGGAAATCCCTGAACTGGATCGTTTCTGGCATAAAACTGAGTCTCGTTTCAATGGAATAGCGAGGAAAACACAGGGCTAAGCCGAAAAAGCTATGAATATTTCTAAATATCCCTAAATTTCTAGATATGTTAATCTTTTCTGACTATCTCGGAAAATTCCTAATATCCCAAAAATACCTGGATATTTATGGAAAGGCCTAGAATTAGCCGACGTTGGGCCTCGTTACTTTCGAGGAGCAAAAACCGCTGTCATGGTTACATAAAGTTCGGGTAGTAATGAGCTCCGTTTACCAATTTATAAAAAAAACCACATGCTATTACACTTAAAGAAAAAACTGAGAAATACGATATTCGAGTAAAGTTAAACAAAGTAAGTTAAAATAAGTTATGTATCTTTAGTCGTATTGTATGATCCCCCAAAGCATAATCAAAACTATCAATACCAAAAGTAATTTCTATACATTTTTATTTCATTAAACATTTAGGGGAAAGAAACGTTTTAATTATAGGTTTATTACAGTCTACTGAAATTACAAACCTCAGCAAATCTCATGAAACAAAAAAGCAAGGATTTATGCTCTGATAGTAATCAAAAGTATGCGTTCTCATCTGATGAGGACAAAACACCATACGTAAGAGATTTATAATTCATTATAAGTCATCCACTGGTAAAACCTTAAGCCTTCAGAAATTAACGTTTTTAAGGGACACTAAGTTTTTAAGGGACACTATCATGAAAATGACTTTGAAAAGTCAAAACCCAAAAGACATATTTTCATTAATAAGTAAGCAAGTAAACACTTTATTTAGTGAGGGTAACACTAGCTAAAAGCTAATAAACGAGTGGCCCTCAAATAAAATGAATATACAAATATCGAAAAACTACGGCTATATACATGTAAAAGTCTATAAAAATACATATTAACACACTTAAATCAAGCTAAATATATAAAATGATTTAACTTGAGCTGTTCTTTGAAAATCACATTCCATATGAACACTTCTTAAAAGTAGGAAGAGAATCCTTACGTCTAATTTCTAAAGGCAAACTATTCCAAAGTTTGCAAGATCTAAGTAAGCAGGTCTTTCCACTTTCTGTCTCACGTACATACTTAGGGTAAACTTGGTTAAAATTAGCAATCACCTAGCATATCTAATATTTCTGGTATGAACTTGATTGTTGATGGAAACGTAGGTACAACGGTATATATAGTGATGTTAAAAATTACTATATAAGAGCAAGGAAGAAAATATGGAGTGTTATAAAGGAAATCACATGCAAAAGGTTGTGATGTCCGTTTGAAAAAGTCTGGCACTCTTTTTTTCAATTTTCGTAATGATGCAGGAAAACTCGATTAAAAAACAAGTTTCATTTGCTCTCCCTTTAACGATTCATTTAATATCGTCTTCTTGGTGCTCTAGGAACATTTCATGTATGATGCAAGTTACTCAGTTATAATTATTTTAAGCACTCGTTTGATCAGACTGCCGCAATAATGTCCCTTTAATTTACACTGTTTACAGCAAACACACCAAAAAATAAAACAAGCACTTATTTTAGTTCAGAGATATATCTAAAAATAGGTTATGTTAAAAGTCATATATAAGGGATGATATAAAAATTCTACGTACATTTTGTAGATTACCACATGTGAGGCGTGTGTCTATCAGACTTTGCCTGATATAGATACATGATATCATTCCCAATGGTGTTACCATACCTTATAGTGAACACCGTCAATGTCTGGCCAAGACAGGCAATCAGTATACAAGGTTAAAAAACATTGTGGATCAAGTGGGCATGTCAACTTGCCCTGAACTGTCTGCGAGTTGAGTATTAGTTACGTGCGTAAGAGGTGGCTTCCTAAGACTAGAGGAAATCTTCGTCATTGTGGAAGCAAAGGTAATAATAATATTATTATCTTGAAATTCTAACTTCCCTACTCCACGAGATGTCTGCTGTGCTTATGCAAATGTCACTAGTACCAGCAACGTTAAATAGACAGAAGTTTCTGGCGAAATTAATTGTGGATCCGCGGCAAGAAACAACAGACCCAGCGAGGCCTAGCGTCCCGTAACAATCGAGAAATATCCAAGCTATACATACAAAGAGAATGCATTATGTTACAAAACAAGGAGCAAATATCAACAGGAAGTTAACCAATCAGCGTGCTAGACTTCGCTCGCCCATTGTAAAATTTATGTTTACAGTCGCCATAGAGAAGGAAAGTACCGCGAACTTATAGGTCGAGGCAGAGAATATTCCGATTCACGCCAAAAAAAAAAGAAAGTAGATGACTCTGTACTGAAGTCGTCTATAGGTTGGCATCAGTTGCTGGACTTCAAGTAGCCGCACGGTAAGAAAATGCGTTATGTAGTTTCCTTACAACAAAAAAGCTTTGCCACGTTATTTAGGCCAACTCTGTGATGACAGAGAGCGGAGTAGAGGTCTTCATAAAGTGTAGTCGAATTTGATTCATCTCTCCAGCGAAGTAACATCCGATATGGTTTATCTTTTGCGTTAGCAGCTATTTCGTCGAGCACGTCCTGAGAAATGTTCAGGTAAATTCCCAGCTTGTCCCACTTTTGACCAATCTTCGCTGCCAGCTCATCTAGTTCACGGTCACTAGGTTTGCCTTCCTTAAAAGCAACTGTATGTGAAAGAGAAGACTACAGTTAGCCATTGATGCAACAGTTGTCACATATCAAAGTAATAATAACTTCATCCATCCTCTCAGTGGAACATATAATTTATTCATGACACCTAATACTGCTCAAAGTCATGCGTCAAACAAACTTCAAGGCTCATTACTTTCAAAAAAGTAAAAAAATAAAAAAATAAATAAACCTTTATTTACCCTCAGCAGTGTTATAGCGCAAGTGCTAATGGGGCCGAGCAAACAACTGAAACAAATAATTCAAATTGACCATAACATTGTTAAGAACCCTACCTGGCCGGAGGCAAACCAGTTGGCTACTCACAAGCGTGGCCGGGGATTTGAACTCGGGGCTACCGAGAAACAAATCCAGGTAGTGATCAGAGGGGGACTCGAACCCGAACCGCTGGATTGCGAGTCCGACACGCTGGCCACTCGGCCACGCTGCCCCAAAAAATGATCGTTGTTTTTCTTTTGTAAGCAGAAAACGATCACTTTTGAAATAAGTGGCTAGAGACATACTGCTGAACTGCAAATAAAACCTCCACCTCGTCAGGTGCGCCATTTTAATTTCGCCCAGAGAAAGATTCGAGCCTCTGTGTAAAAAGGACATTTTTATTACAGTGGCTTTTAGCGACGCTTTTGATATTTAACCCGCCTTGAACGCCTGTTTTACTGTGGAATAGTAGCTAAGAGTGGAAAACGTCACTAGCTTCTCCTCAGTGCAGACGAGTATAATTGTTCTCTAACAATGGTTTGTCCGATCGAACCCAATTATGTCCTTGTAGCTTCTTGTAAGACCAATTTCGAGATTATAAACAGCACGGGAAGTAACATGCTCGACCAATGGACCACGTTCGATCTATCAATATTCTAACATGGTTCCGAGGCTTTCGGGTGAAAATTGTAAATTTTTAGGTTTCATTCGTCTTTAGTTCCCAAAGGAGACTTGGATACAAAGGAAACAACACCAAAAACTCAATAGGTCAGCCTTGTGTCGCTTGTCGTATTGTTATGTTCATGCACTGTTAACCCAAACTTCTGTGAATCCTACTGTTTAAAAATCGGGCCATAGTGTCCATGCTAATTGCTCTCAGGTATTTGAAAAATATGGCCAAGGGTTGGGAATGGTCACAATGAAGGATGCGAAGCTAAAAAAAATTTTTTTTTGCGAAAAAATAAAGTGAAAACTCAACGTACCAAAACCTATGGACGGAGATAATTAGACATGAGTTTGTTATGCTAATTTGATTACCTCATCAAGGTTTCCAGCAGCTAGGATCTATGAATGAAGCTTATATACCTCATAGAGTTTTCAATGAGTTACATGTATCTTATTGTTACTGTGGCTTTTTTAAGCCATTTTATTATGATGTCAGGTGCACGTTTTGTGTAGACAGTCAATTCATTGCACAAAGTGTAAAAAAAGGGAAGCTGGATTGCTCCACAGAGTTTGCTAGTTTAGTAAATTGATGGACTGATATCAAGTAGCAGTACGCTTTCAGCATTCAAGGCAACAGATAATATCTGAGGTACAGACTTACTGTTTGTGACATATTGAATGAATGAATGAATGAACGAACGAACGAACGAACGAATGAATGAATGAATGAATGAATGAATGAATGAATGAATGAATGAATGCATGCATGCATGCTTTATTTAACGTGGATATACGCTTTACTAGTTTACAGGTATTCCACCTAATATCTAATGAGAACCTAACAACTAAACAACGCTAATATCACAATTCATCAGGTAAAAATCACAAATTAAATACCGATTAAAACTATTCAAAACTGTTATAAAAATACTACCGCCGTAGTAATACTATTAAAACTAATGTCACAAATTTACTAATCCCCGAAATTTAGCGATCTAATTTTGTTTACTATTTCATTGGTGCCTACTTTTATTCTAATGTCATTTGATAGTTGATTTCATTTCTTGGCTGCAAAATATCTCCATGACTTAAGTCCATATTTAGTAGTGTTAACCTTAGGAAAAGATAAAACATATTCTTGGCGCCTGAGATTGTACTTAAATGAGCGTAAATTAATAAGGTTCCTAATTGCCCGTGGTGCTTTGTTCGATATGCTATTATGTATGGTCAATAACATGTCTCGAATTCTTCGAGATTCCATGGAGGGTAGTCTTATCCTGTCCAAGAGATGCTGATAGGATGCATGTTTATCATTAAAGACATATCTCAACGCCCTTTGGTTGACTTTTTCGATTTTTGTAGTGTTTCTTTTTCCGCAATGGTGCCAAACTTGGTTACAGTAATAAAAATTTGGTAGTATGAACGAACGATATAACGATTCCTTGGTTTTAAGTGGTAAAATGTTTTTCAGTCTATTAAGGGCGTTTAATTGAGCACTCACTTTGCGGCAAATGCTCGATACTAATCTACTAATTTACTAATCCCCGAAATTTAGCGATCTAATTCTGTTTACTATTTCATTGGTGCCTACTTTTATTCTAATGTCATTTGATAGTTGATTCCATTTCATGGCTGCAAAATATCTCCATGACTTGAGTCCATATTTAGTAGTGTTACCTTTAGGTAAAGATAAAACAGATTCTTGGCGCCTGAAATCGTACTTAAATGAGCGTAAATTGAATTTTATATTTCAAAATATTTTTTCTCCGAGAGCTCTTTTCTACGATCACTCCATATGCTCTGTAACTTTTCACTGAAATTGAATATGGCAAATCGCAGACACGTTTTGTTAGCGCTTTGGGTCAGGAAACTGAGGGACAAATTAGATAGGCGAAAAACAAAATTCGCTTGACTTGTCGCTTTCAAAAGGTGATTCGGACTCTCGAATTCAGAGGTTACAAAATATTCAACAATTCATTTAATTTCAGAATACTTGGTATAGTTTGAGATGCCAGCCGTATAAGCTTTAATATGATATAGGGGTTTATATATCTACAGTTTAAACCGGACTTGCTACACCGCTTGGACGTGACACACTTCTAAAGGTATACGATGACCTTAAGTAGCTGCGATGAAGCGTGAAAAAAAATGGCTTTAAAGGGATTCAAGTCAGTTCAAGCTTGGGGTGGCGGTGGCGGTTTGTTTTGCTTGCCCTGCCGGATTTTCTTCCTTCTGTAATTTTCATTAAGGGGGAGAGGGGGGCGAACACTTGGAAAGTTTGGGATTTCAAAAAATCCAATCAGTCCAGAGGAGAGCCTAAATAATAGCCTAAATATATTGTTAGTCGAGGCCGTTCTCGTGAATCAGATCGATCAAGATAAAGAATCCCATATTCCCCTTCATTTTAATCATCTTCATTCCGATATACAAAGCAACGTTGCTAAAAATGAGCTCGTAGACTACTTGTTCGGCTGAGGAGATGGTTTAACTGAGCTAAGGAGGTTTGTTGGGAATTTGCTTGCCCATACACCTCACAAAAAACGGGCTATCAACGTTGACAGTGTTCGTTTGTGACAAACCAAAAATTCTGAGGTATCAGAAGAAGCTGAAATGAACTGTTCTTCTGAACTTTCTATCAGCCTTCCCAGGGAAGACAGAAGTCTTCGAAGTCGGGAAGCAAACGCGCCATTTTGGGTGCTTTCCATTATGCCAAAGATTCCGGAAATTTTGGTCGGAATATTCAAATGAAAAGGTCTGTTTTGGTTTCTTCCGACCGGAATAATCGAGATCACCGATTGGAATATTCGGGATCATATTCCGACTGAAATTCGCCGTTCCATTTTTGACATACCAGTTCTTTGTCCTAATTAGGGAATTCGGAAAAGGAATAAAATTGGTAAGAGCCATTCCTATTGGTTGGCCCGGTTTAATCGTAAAATGTCGTTAATTTTCCTCTGGTACTCCCCCTGATCTCTGACCGTTAGGTTTGGCAAAATGGAAAGTACCCTTTGTTTCTGAGCGCGCGTAGTCTGGCGTAGCCTACACATCACTTCCTGTGATGCAATATAGGGGCATGCCCCTTACATCCGGTTGAGACGCAAATCAGTTTCTGCTTCCTCTCGAATCGTTTTTTAACTTGGAAACTATTATTTTCCAAGTTGTAGTGGTGAAACGATTTCACTCCTTCACTCCTTCACTCCTTCACTCCTTCACTTCCTGTTAGACATTTGAAATCCGGGGGGGGGGGACTCCCATATGAAAAGGTCAGGGATGCTCGTAGGAAAATTTGAATTTATCTCCTAAAGGAGACTAATATGGAAGTTGCTCGAGCTTCATTAGACCCCTAAAAGACACCATTTAAAACGGAGTGGGTTCGATAACTAGCCACTGTTCAAGAAAGGATCCCGCGCGCACTTGTAGGCCCGACTCGCGTACTCGAGAGATCAGCGGAAATCAAGCCTAAAGACAGAAATGAAATGAGAGCGTTTCTTTTAATTATTATTCCTTCGAGTGCACCCTAAAGGATACTTTGACAGCTAAAAATGGTGACGTTTCTTCGTCAACACCCTAAGTGAGACCAGAATCCTTGATTTTTATCCGAGACGATGAGCACCCCCGACCTTTTCATATAGGGGTTCCTCTACGGGTTTCGAACATCCGCCTTTTAAGGCCGTTTTACAGTCGCTTGCACCGTGCCAAGTTAGTTATTCTTTAAATTTCTGACGCAAGTACTCAATATCTTACTGCAGAAATCGTGATCGGATAAGAAGCGGTACTTTCTTTATAATTGTTTCGGTCTCTCAGACGTGTTACATCTCGTGCATTGTCTTACCGTTGCGTTCGTATAGTGTGATCGTCCGGGTGAGTGTAGTTCTGAAAAGAACTGTTGTTGGTGACTGACGTTTCGACAACCTGAGCGGAAGTCATCTTCAGAGTCAAGTGGCTTCTTTAAATTTTAAATCTCTGTTCAATACCGTCCGGCTTCCTGTCATGTTGCTCTCTGAGGTGGATTTCAACTGCCGATCCTTTGTGTTCTTCAATTCGTTGGTGTAGGTGTCGACGAGTACAAAGGTCACGCGTAAAACAATACACCAGGCTTTGCTGATTCACCAGGGGTGGCTTGTCTTCCCTGTGTACACTGGGCTAATAAATATCTGCATCGATTATTGAGAGGTCGAAGCGTCGTGGTTTTTAATCGTTAGTTTTTATTGGAAGATTAAGGAAAGTAAACGCAATTTTACGATGTCTTTTAACATGACAAACGTCACTATGGTAGATCTGTCGGTCCATGTGAAATGACTTGACTCCTGAAATCACCATCCTGACGCTCAACGCACCTTATGGAGGTTATCTACTAACAGCGGGAAAGTGGTACGAAACTAGCTTAAAGTAACCAAAAGCCAAGCAGAAGGGGAAAGGTAGGGGGNGGGGGATCTGATCATTGACTCGCGATAGAGCTCTAAAACTTCAACTAACAAAAGGGCTTACCCCTATCTATGACATTAGTCACTCTGGTTCGCTTAGTAACCTGGGTGGTAGCACTTGAAGCCTTTCTCTTTCTGGTTGAACTCTGTAGGGCTGCAAAAACAAGGCAACAAAATCCTCTTTACTGTGTCTTCTTTAGCCGGAGTGTGACCGCCAATTCCTGCATGCTCGCCCTTCAAAAATGACACACAAGAAAAGATTACCTCTACCTCCCACAGTCACCTCAGGAACTCCGGTGGATGAACATGAAGGCCTTTTCAGTCTGTTTGCACTATGCTTCTCCACAGAAGCATCATTCTGGTCTGTGAAAACAAACAACAAAATTATGTTACTATACGAGTTACTTTCCCCCACTGATCAGACAAGAAGCTCGTATCCTAAAAGTCTGAAGCAGAGTAAGTGCACCCCCTTTAAACACCCTGAAAAAGAGACATTTTAAAAATAGCCTCCTCCAGTTCTAAATTCCCTTTCATCATTTGTGTTTCAGGAGGTACTGATTTGTGAGTTCTCGCCCCAAAATCCCTTTAAGGTGGCTCCCTAGAGTGTTTACGAACACCCTCCCTATAGAGCGCAAGTTAGAAAAGGAAACTTAGTTAATTTCTTTTAAAGTTTTCCCTGTAGAGATTTACCAGCGTGGGTGCTTTTAAAATAAGGCTCATTTTTCGGAAGTCAATTTTTGGATTAAGGCCGTTACCATGGCAACATCTCATCTAGTGACAGGCAGATATATTCCTCATTTTGACCTAAACTCTTTAGTATTTATACTTTCCTTCGGTGAAAGTTTTTCATACTTTGCCACATCGCGGAAATGATATTGCCTGACATTTTGAATTGGTAAAACGTCAAAGTTGTTCAGACAATTTTTCCAATACTCTGCAATGTGCTATTCTTCTAAATATTATTTGATTAGCCCTCATAGATTTTAGCAAAAATAGGGTATTTTATAGGAATTGTATGTGGTTACAACTGAGCCAGATTTTAAAAAAAATCACCGAAGGAAACGCGAGAAAATTCACTGTCAGTTTTCCTTTTTGTTTTCATGTTGACGTCATAAAAATCGAAAACACTGACGTTTTCCTTCGTTAGTTTTTATTAGAAGATTAAGGAAAATAAACGCAATTTTATGATGTCTTTTAACATGACAAACGTCACTATGGTAGATCTGTCGGTCCATGTGACATGACTTGACTCATGACATCACCATCCTGACGCGCAACGCACCTGATGGAGATAATCTACCGCTTACTGAAAGTGATTTCGTTGTTTACATGCTGACCCCTAATTAACCCTACGCCATAGTTGCGGTATTGTTATTAAGCCGCGCCCGTGGTCTTGTGCGGTTTCCCTCGTCGACGCATGCCTGGTTGTCATTATATAACCCCGCGCTTGCTCGTGGCCATTCCCAGTCTTGTTCAGTATTATGACATTAAACCTGGAGTTTGTCTTAGTGGTCCCAAAGAGCCCGCAAAAGACGACAGTAACACACTCATTGACCTTGGTGCTTCAAGGAATCTGATTGCTTCGCTATTTCTGACTAATAAGCAAAATTTACCTCCTACCGAGTCAATAATGTGTGATCCAAAAACAAAGTGGCCAGCGTTAATGTAAACTCGCGTTTCGCCAGTGTTTCTATATGGAATGCTAAGAATACAAGATCCTTTACCAGAAAATACAAAGTGAGACATGAAATTTGGGGTGAAAGTTTTCAAAGGATAGAAAAGACTTACCCACGTCCGACTTTCGAGCAGATTTCATCAATCTAAAGAAACCCCAGCCAATTCACTCTTCACCCGGCATTGGCAAAAGCAAATACCGCAGGGTTCATTGGCACAAGCATCAAGTGTTATTCAACCAAGCACCTCCACGTTGTTGTGCAAGAAAACATTCAGTTTCCCCAAAGTGTAGCGAACACTATATAATTTCAGCCTGTTTCAGCTGGTTGATCCTTCGCCAAATGTTCTTTTAATTTTCATTTCAAGTGAAAAAGAAAACTTTAATTGAGCGGTGAATCTGTTTTGCAAGCACAATTTCTGCTTGCAAAACTATGTTTGAAAATTCTGTAAATAAATAGTTTAGCGCATGCTTCGTGCGTTTGCACGTTTTTCAGGCATGAATTGAGGTCAATTAAATCGACTTTTAATGGTTTCCGTTTTGTCTGTTGATGAGATAACTTCGTGTGTATGTGCTAAACAATTATTCGTTTCCATCTCAGTGAATAGCGGCAGAATATCTACCTCGATTTCAAAGAATTATTGTAACTGATTATTCAACGAAAGATGTTCTCCTGACAATTCTTGTTTTTCTTTTCAACCTCTGAGGTACACTTCTCAGCGTCATAGTTTGTTTTTAAGTCAGTAGTCATAGATTTTGTCAGTGTTTTCGGTATAGTTCGAACTCGCACATGGCTCATTTGTTATCTATCCTTGACAGGCCGAATTAATTCATAATAGGACACAACGCGAGGCCTGTGCCTCTAAAGGACGGTGACTGTGTAGAAAACGCACCAGAAGCCGGTGGGCTGCTAAATTGATCGTATATTATTTCAAACATCCTTCAACATTAACGCGTAACGATCCAGCTAAGCGTTTCTCCAGTGGTTTACATACATACTTTATACATACATACTTTATCTGATAACTAGGTTGTTACAGCAGCTGAAAGCCGATGTGGACGTGCTATCTACTAAAGTTTCTACTACAGTTTTCTAAATGCAGTTTCTACAAAAAATGGGTAAGTGGTTACAACTGCCAACAAGCAAACGAAAGTACAAGTACAAATATTTATATTTACCTGACGACGGGATTCTAGGACTTATAAAACTTGACGGACGACACTACATTATAAACGCCGATTATTGTAAACGTTCTCACTAACACGCTTCTCACGCCTTTAAATACGACCACACAGGCCTAAGTACTATACTGCAACCGCTTACTAAAAGTGATTTCCTTGCCTACATACCGACCCCGAATCAGCTCCAATTAGTTCCACCAAAAACAAAACTACTAAATTATGCTGTTTGTGTTTCCTATCACAAAGGTCAAACTCTGAAACAAAGTCCACGCACAAGTAGCACTAAACTTGAAACAAATTAACACCTGGATTCCTGGAATACTTCAAGGAGACATAACTTTCTGATTTCTCGACTTAAAACAGATGAGGCTGTTTTCACTTTCACATGCAGGCCACTTCTATCACTGTCATGATAGAGTTCCTCAAAGACGCTCATCGGCCAGCGACCTCGTGGCATTTTCTCGCCAACGATGAAAATCAAGTCACCAAAACAAAATTACGAAGAATGCTTATCTATTCCTGAGTCGTCTGAAGCGCAGGTAATATCCTCTCACCTACATCTTCCAGAATGAGCTGGCTAAGCTTTGCGTATAGCGCAAGCGCTTGTTGAATGTCTTGCTTCGTGAACACATCCAGCCGAAGACTGAAACTGGTGTTTTTTTTCGAGACGACATCCGACTTTCATGATGCCTTCAGAAAGGACTATTCCATGAAAAACACTTGGTTTTGTTTGCGGATGCTTTAAAGTACAAAAACTCCTGAGATTTCTTGTAGCCCTTCTTCGGGTCAAAGATTATGGAGCAGTTTTTGATGGCTTACCTGACTTTTCTAGTAAAGTGCTGCGTAAGGATGTTAATCTTGAATTACTGTCCAATACCTTATTGGCGATATTGACTCCGGAGTTATTTACGAATGGCTGGTAATTTAAGCAATTACCATCAAAGGAAAAACACTCCCTTGTTGGCATTTGAAAATCTTAGGCTGAAACTATGCAATTATTTACATAAGTTCGTGTTGCTCTCTCAATATCTGTTGCAACTGTCGAGAGACAATCACGTGGACTCCACTGTTGATGGCGCTTCGACATGACTGGAAGCTCTGCATAGTGTCCAAAATTTGGCACTGGAATTTAGCACTAATTTCAAGCAATTTGTCTCTTTACTATGTATCCTTTAGTTGAGTGTGACCACCGATTCATGGTGGCCCCTCCATGCTGATCCTTTAAAAATGACATACAAAAAGAGATTACCTCTACCTCCCACAGTCTCTCTGTTTCGCT